CTGGTCCAGGGCCGGAGTGGGACAACATTTCAGGCCGGGAGCTTTTCATCCATTCAGGCCAAACAAGGTTCTAAATTTGGGTTTTTGTCATTGTATTTTGATGTTCTTTTAATAGTTTTAAGATTGACTGTCAAAACTTTTGTTTTCTTTTTTTTTTTTTATATTGACTGTTTATATAATCTCGGACGTTTAAGGATTGTTGTACGTTGCTTAGCAACGTAACGTTTATGGAGTTTAGTGAGAATAAAGACACACACACACACACACACAATGAACTAAGTGTTCATTAGTGTATAACTATAACAAGCTAATCAATTATTGTTAAAAAAGTAGTAAGGTAAAATCACATCGTTACAGCTCATATAAAAGGAAAAATAAAAACGTGTATGAACCATCAGTTGGAGAGACCACTCATTTCAACCGGGGAAGCTACACTGGGTGCACTGCTAGGCTGGCCTGGCTGTGTAGCCGACGTGTGACGTCACATTTGTTTAATTTTGCTCTGGCCCAATGACAGTAAAGCTTTGGCCAGTGTTGTGCCAGTTCACAGCTTTTCTGAACTAGTTCAAGTTCAGTTCATACATGCTCAAAGTGAACAGTTCACTTTCGAAGTTCTCAATTTGAATTCTGAACTAGTTCAAAGTTCAGTTCATTTTACTTTTTGCGAGATATTCAAATAAATATTTTTTTTCACTACGAGCTAGAAATCACAATACGTGGTTGGTATATATATATATATATATATATATATATATATATATATATATATATATACATAATTATATATTATATCCTGTACACTGCACAGGATGTTTTGACTCCAATGCAGACAAGATTTACATGGGTTTCAATGGGAACTGAGTTGTCCCATCTTATGAGCTTAACTTCCCATTAACTTATGAGCAGCATAAGTACAAACTGTAATGCGCTGCAGAACGTGTGTCTATACTTTATGTCAAATGTAAACGGCCCTGTGTCACTGACTTACCCCTGTGTTTTCATCACGGCACATGTGAGTCCAACAACCAATGAATAGCACTAGCAAATAGCGCCGCACCGCAAGTACACTGAGTCGGGGTGCGTTCACAGACGGTGGAAACCGTAGGAATTTTTAGTTTTCGGCGGAAACAGTGCGGAGAATACAGGAGGGAGGAACTTTCTCTCGTTGCGTTTCAAAAGAGAAAACCGATTTCACTCAGTTTTAAATGGAAAACAAATTGTCCGCCGTTCATGACACATAATATGAACTAATTCACGTTCAAGTTCTTTATTAAAAAATGTGTTGCGTTCAGTTCAACGTTCACGAAAAAATGAGCGTGTTCAATGAACGCGTTCTTTTGAACTCGTTCACGCACAACACTGGCTTTGGCCTGGGCCTTGCTCATTGGACCAGGCCACCAGGCAGGGTAGGAGTTTGCAAAGACCGTGAGGATGAAATTAAATAAAAAAAATAAAAAAAATAAATAAATAAAAGACCGTGATGATAGGGCAGGCCCAGGCCACTTTGACGCGCAGGCCACCGGGAGATCTCCCGATGCTCCCGATGGCCAGTCCGGGCCTGCTCTGGTCTTTCCACTCGATAACCTGGTCTCTCTCTCTGGTTTTTCTCTCTGATCTCTCTCTCTCTGTCTCTCTGGTCTCTCTCTCGATCATCTTTCTCTCACCCTGGTCTCCCTTTCTCTCTGGTCTCTCTCTCTGGTCAGATGATCTTTCCACTCGATAACCTGGTTCTTAAAAATGTACATATTCGCCCCAAACGCCGTCTTCCTTTGGTCGATTGATGTTTTGAGCGTTCAGGTCTGAATTTGACTTTGTGGACGAGGCCTAAGTGAGTTTGGGAGTCTCTCCAGTCACATGACGTCCCTGTGGCTTCAACTAGACCGCACCACGCTCAATGTTTACTAAAATCATGGCATCTAAAGCAGGAGTCACCAACCTTTTCCCCAAACTGAGAGCTACTTTTTCAGGACAGAAAAGGCAGAGGGCGACTCCTGTAAGAAGTTTTTAGCCTAAAGCAGAAAAAGAATTAATACTGTTGAATAAAATCCGATTGTTTGCAGTTAAATGCCCCTAAAACAATCTTATTTTTGTTATTGATTTGTTGAGCACCTTGAGTTGCCTTCTGTATGAACTGCCCTACACAAATACACAACTGTTACGTAAGGGATAATGTATAGAACGCAGGCCATTATCTTAAAATACAGACAGGGCCAACCGGATTGCTGGATGTTTAATGGTTACTTCCTGGTTTACCGCGATCACATTTTCTGGCATTAAAACAGTCATGAAAACGTTGAGAGATAATTCTGGAAACCTCCGTGCACGTGTGTTAAGAATATATATGCATAATTTATTATCTGATTACCATTTAGATGTGTGGATTGAGGCGCTGTGTTTTTGAATGCTGGCCGGAACTACTTGCGGCTATTTGCTGCGGTCATTTTTGGTTTCAGGTCCATTATCAAGTAATTATGACCGGTAGAACATTTTGAAATTAAATCAGATCAACGAAGCGTTCTACTGCGTTCTAGAGACGTATGATAAACATCCTTAATGCACACAATTAAAAATTTACAGTTAGATGAAGCAAACATTAAATATTCAAGGGTTCTTTGAAATGTCTAAAACCTTCGGGGAGCTCCTTGGTTGTGTTGGTGAGCTACTGTTAGCTCCTGAGCGACATGTTGGAGGCCGCTGACCTAAAGTATTCTCTCTCCAAACTGACCCACATGACGCAGATGGAATGTCCCTTCATATAATCATCATTTAATCTCATTTCCTCAAAGCTCCAGACCAATGCCTCCAAACTCCAAGACAGAAGTCACTTAAATCCAGCCTTGTCTTTTATTAATTATTAACTATTAATTATTAAATATTAAAGTGGACATTAGTTACTAAACAGCCTTCGGTATCGGTCTACAACAGGAGCCCACGCTTTAGAGACAGGATCTACTTTTACTGCAACTCCTGAGCCGTGATCCACCCCAGAATATCACAGATCAAGAAGCAGATGTGAAGTTCATTAAAGACCATGTTGTTTTAGTCACATTTGGACAGAAATAAATAAATATTTACAGGATTAAATCATCCCTTTTATCCTTTAATCACAAACGACTGTTCTGTGTTGTGTTTCTCATCAACATCTCCAGTGTGAGATTAATAAAGTACATCTTATATTATCAAACTGCTTTGGGTCGTATTATTACTGTTACTGCTGCTGCTGCTGTTACTGCTGCTGCTGCTGCTGCTGCTGCTACTGCTGCTGCTGCTGTTACTGCTGCTGTTACTGCTACTGCTGCTGCTGCTGCTGCTGCTACTGCTGCTGTTACTGCTGCTGCTGCTACTGCTGCTGCTACTGCTGCTGCTGCTGTTACTGCTGCTGCTACTGCTACTGCTGCTGTTACTGCTGCTGCTGCTACTGCTGCTGCTACTGCTGCTGCTGCTGCTACTGCTGCTGTTACTGCTGCTGCTGCTGCTGCTGCTGCTGTTACTGCTGCTGCTGCTACTGCTGCTGCTACTGCTGCTGCTGCTGCTGCTACTGCTGCTGTTACTGCTGCTGCTGCTACTGCGCTGCTGCTGTTACTGCTGCTGCTGCTGCTGCTGCTACAGCTGCTGCTGCTGCTACAGCTGCTGCTGCTGCTACTGCTGCTGCTGCTGCTACTGCTGCTGTTACTGCTGCAGCTGCAGCTCGGAGTCCATTGTAATGATAGAACTTTTTGGTGGTTATTAGAACAGAGACGTCAGACTCATTTCGGTCAAGGGCAGAATCTAAAATCCTGCGGAGCTGAAAGTATAAAAGTGTTTGAAGATCTTTGCATCTGTGGATATTTTAGTGTCGTGTTTTACATGAATGAAAGTGACTGATTTAATCAGATACAGGTGTTTTCTCATTTCAGAGGCCTCTGAACATGGTCTGGGGGCCGCAGTGTTGGACACCTGTGTGTTGGAACACACGTCCTGCTGGGGTAAAGGTCCTGTCAGACCTCTGAAGATAAGCAGGACAGGGCCTGGTTAGTACTGTGATGGGAGACCTCTGGGAACAGCAGGTGCCACAGTGGGGAGGCTGCGGCTGTAAAGTGCCAAACTGTGGCTGTGTCCTTTGGCAAGACACTTCAGCCTCATTAGAATGAGTCTGGTGTGTGTGTGAATGGTTGTAGGAGGGGCTTCTGTCAGACTAATAATAAACTACTACTGCGGCCACAGTAGTAGTTTATCACCACCGTGTTTGGAGTAAATGAATAATGAATGTGAAGTGTCTTTGAGCGTCCGAAACGGCGCTGTAAAAACCCATGCATTATTATTATAATCATCAACTGCAGGTAAACAGTGTACTTCTGTTGGACGCACACAACACAACACTCAGCTGTAAATGGGTCAACAGGTTAAACATGTTCTAATCATGTTTGACCTTTACTATTATTGTCCAATCAGAAAGCAGAATGTGTCTCTTGTTTGGGTTGCCAGTTCCTAGTTTAGGGCTTCATGTATTTGTTATATGCATAATAACAGTATTCACACACAACAACAAAAGTCACCAGACGGAAATTAGGCAAGTCATACACAGAGTTTGTAGTGTTTCTGACTCAACCCCAGCAGGTGGACTGCATCTGCAGTCAGTGCTCAGAAGCGGCATTTGTCACAGGAAGATTCTGGCAACACAAGGACTTTTTTGTAAAACGGTAAAGGTGCAAATCGACTTCATATCGGAAAACTTCCTGAAGCCAAACACATCAATGCAACTTTCCATCAGCCGAGTCCAAAGCCCAACAACAAGCCGACAAGCCCTGCCCATGTCCGGCTGCGAGCTGCGAGGGACGCGTGGGCACATCCTGGTTCACAAACACGTCAGCTCCAACACAAGTAAACACGAAAACCAAAACAGTAACACACGCACATCACAACACACACACAGACACATCCAAACACACAGACAGCACCAGGCAGAGGTGGACACGGACACCCGCGGTCGTGCGTCACTGCTCTCCCCGGGTTGAGCTCACCTCCAGCCGGTCCAAAGCTGCAGTGTTCTCCGTGGATCCAGTGTCGAAGACCCGGTCCCGGTACAGCGCCCATAGCCCCACGTTCGGCAGGAAAAGCAGCGCACAAAGAGCGAGCGCGGACAGCTGCAGGAGCCGCTTCTGCCTCCGCCTCATGACCGCGGGGAACGAGGCAGAGGAGCCCGGAGAGAAGCGCTCAGGCCCGGGCTCCAGTGGTGCGAAGAGGCGGTGGTGGAGGAGGAGGGACAGGCGGAGAGCAGTGGCTGGAGGAGGGAGGCTCTGAGGCGGGGAGAGCGGAGGGCTGCGGCCGCCAGGGGGAGACACGGAGTCCAAGGGGCTGTGTGTGGTGGTGGGGCAAAACGTATTTAGTCTGCGGTGTTGGGAGTAACGCGTTATAAAAGTAATGTAATAAATGTAATGCAGGTGGCTCCAACCTTATTCACCCAGAGAGCTACTTTCCTGGGAGGATAAAGGCAGGGAGCTACTTTCCCGGGACGATAAAGGCAGGGAGCTACTTTTTAAAGCAGCTTTGGGAAAAATTAGAAGTTTGAAGTTTTATTTATTAAAGATGCAGTAAGCGATTTTGTTAGCTTAGCCGTAGCACCAACTGGAAACCACTCCCTCCTCCCCTCTCCTCTTTACCAAACCAAACATCTGGTGGCTCTCGAGCTACAGGTCGGAGACCTCTGATGTAATGTATTGCTTTTTGCGTAACACAGTACAAAGGCTAATAATGTTACATTATATTTTGACCCAAACTTAAAGGTAGAAAGGAGGATTTTCTACTTCTAGGTGAATCATCAAGACTGTCCTCCCAGTTGTCAATCATTCAGGTAATATGTGCTCGTCAAATAAGACCAGAGACTTTTTTTTAAAAAAGTGGAGAGGGCGGTTTGTTCCTCAAATTTGGGAAAATCCTCCTATTTACCTTTTAAATTGTGTTTTGTTTTTATACTATGCCACTGAGATCAACAGAGGAGACAACAAGTGTTGGTGGAAGATGCTGAAGCAGAAGCAGCACTATGTGACAATAGTACCTTTTACAGATGGACAGACGCCATTATTTAGAGTTTGTTAAAGATGTGGAACAGAACAGTTAAGTTTATGTTCAAACCAAAAGACAAAAACGTGGCTGGGTCTTCAGCAAAAGAATCCTTCCAAACACGCGTCGTTTGGGAAACGAAGGAGTGGCCATTTCAAAGTCTTGGAGCCTCAGGCCCTGTTTATACTGAGACGCTGCGCAGACGTTTCCAGGCTATTAACAGAAACGACCTGGCTCCTAATGCAAATTTCTCAGCGTTCACATGAGGTTGAAAAACGATGTAGTTCTAGCGCCCGGCCAGTAGTGGGCAGAGAAACTTTACAACACTCACACGACCCCCAGCCCCGTGCCCAGCCCCCCTCTCGGCAGTGTACTCACTTCCTGTACCAGACCCTCAGAGAGTACCAACATCATTCTGCATTTTAACAGCAGCTGTGAACATGGAAACTGAACCTAGAGCTTCACGTGGTCTCGTTTGGACGAACGAAGGAGCAGAATTATCCTCTGTGCCGCGCTGGAAGCCCACGAAGCTAGTTAGTGTGACCGCCGCCATTGTTGTTGATGTTTGTCCTCTGCTACTGCGCATGTCCAAATTTACTTGCGGGGAGCAGCACGGAAGTGGGGGTCAGAGCAGAGGGGGATTTCACACCTTTTCCCCTCTCGCGGGTGTGAAAGAGCTCCCCGCTGTGCAGCGTTTCTGAGTTGTCCCACTCTGCAGGCTGGATCTGAACACTTATGGTTTCACCCCCCTGGAACACAGTCTTCGTATGAACGGTTGGTAGCAACCCACATCCAACTATACCGTTTTACTGCCACATTGTCTCCGTGTAAACTCAGCCTCAGTCCGCAACTCTCAACCTCATAGAAAATCTGTGAAAATCCGTGGGAAACACATCCCCAAAACATCTGCTGGAGGAATGGGCCAAAATACCAGCAACAGTGTGTGAGAACCTCGTGAAGAGGAAGTTCTCATGGACAAAGTTTTGCTCCAACTCTCTCTCGCCTCTTATTGACTTACATCGAAAAGTAAACTTCTCTCGCTCAGTAACTGTTTCTGGAGTGGTCGCCCACCTCCAGATGTCCAGGATTTCTACATATTTTTAGTGGAGTGTATGTGTCTAAAAGTAGATATATAGAAACTGTATTGACCCTGTGTCGGCGTAAATCCTGCCCTGCAGAAACACATCTATTCTAAAAGTTACAACAGTAGTAAAGTGCCACAGCAGCAGAGGTGGTGTAGCCACTCCGTCTGCTTGGTTGGGACCATTGTCTCTGCTCTGGTCTGGATCAGTGTGAAACCATGAACACTGTACGATTGGGTTTTTTAAAGAGCGACTAAACACCTGTGACCAACCTTACTCCGCCCACATGAACATTTGAACATTTTCTCTGTAAAGGGCGTTGCCAGAGGACCAAGGGACAAGAAGGGGGCTTAGAGTTGGGCGTCGTCTGGGCTGTGATTGACAGCTCACTTGTCGCACAAAAAAAACAGACAGTTTTCATTGCTGCTTAAAGCAATAGTTTACACACCAGAAAGTCTCATTCCACCCTTGTTTACACACTAAGTTATTGTAGAGCTACACACCTGAACCTAAGACACACAATTATCTCAGCAGCAGTGGTTGTCAACTGATGTAATTACATTTTAATCCACTAGATGTCACCAGAATACTCCAACCGGCTCCTGGGGCGTGTGTGAGAGTTGGATGGGTTTATATCACTGGCACAAACAGACACACGTCACACACACCAACTGACATCACACACACCAACTGACATCACACACACCAACTGACGTCACACATACCAACTGATGTCACACACACCAACTGACGTCACACACACCAACTGTCGTCACACACACCAACTGACGTCACACACACCAACTGACGTCACACCGAACAACTGACGTCACACAAAACAACTGACGTCACACATCAACAGATGTCACACACACCAACTGACGTCACACACACCAACTGACGTCACACACACCAACAGACGTCACACACATCAACTGACGTCACACACACCAACTGACGTCACACATACCAACTGTTGTCACACACATCAACTGACGTCACACACACCAACTGACGTCACACATACCAACTGTTGTCACACACATCAACTGACGTCACACACACCAACTGACGTCACACACACCAACTGACGTCACACACACCAACTGACGTCACACACACCAACTGACATCACACACACCAACTGACGTCACACACACCAACTGACGTCACACACACCAACTGACGTCACACACACCAACTGTCGTCACACACACCAACTGACGTCACACCGAACAACTGACGTCACACAGAACAACTGACGTCACACATCAACTGACGTCACACACACCAACTTACGTCACACACACCAACAGACGTCACACTCACCAACTGACGTCACACACACTAACTGACGTCACACATACCAACTGACGTCACACAGAATTACAGAGTCAATGGAGAGGCCGGGACCAAATTCAAATGTAGTACCACTGAATAGGTAGAGAGGGCGCCACACAGACAGGTTTTAGGCTCAAAAGTGAGATTTTATCTAATTTGCACTAAAATGTCAAAAAAATGAGTAGGATATGGAGAGAGCACTACAATAAACATATTTATGCAGTTTGTGAGTAGAAAAAAAGTTGATTTGGTGTTTAGTCGCTCTTTAACGATTGTAAAATACAAATCAACAACTTTCCAGAGATATTTCAAACTTACGGCCGTTTCCAGCACTTTTCAAAGTAAAAGTCAACATGTGGATGTTCCGGCGATGGGCTGTGGGTGTTTTTCTGCCGCTGACGGTTCTTTGTGACAGAACATTGCGTCAGTTTGCAGACAGCAGCTTAAGGCTTCCACCGGAGTGAGAAACACAGAGAAACCGGAGGCTCTAGTCTGAGCTCCTGATCCGGCCTCAGTCCCGCAGGAGCACTGGGAGAACACGGCTTTAGTGCACCAGAAAGAAACAAAGTCTGCCGCGAAATCAGAACTAGTTCACCTTAAAAACCTACTGTCTGTGTCGTTCTGTGATGTCCTCAGACAGTGGTCTTTGCGCTCCCTGGTGTTTGTTATTATTCTTTGATTTTCTGATCAGCTGCTGAGGAATTGACAACTTTGTGACGATCTCAAAGATGGCTGCCGTTGTGTTTAAGGGAAATACACAAATACATTGAATTGAATTATTCACAAAAGTGTATTGTTGCAGACAGGAACAGACCAGGTTAGACCAATCTAGACCAGCCAAAATTATACTGGTCTGTTCTGGTTTAGGTTGGTCTGGCTCAAAACCAGGCCAGGCCAACCTAGTCCAGACCAGACTAATCCAGGCCAGACCAGACCAGACCAGACCAGCCTAGGCCAGACCAGACCAACCTAGACCAGCCAAAACCAGACAAAACTAGACCAGCCAGAATCAGACCAGACCAGCCCAGACTAGTCCAAACCAGGCCAGACCAACCTAGACCAGACCAGATAAGACCAACCTAGACCAGCCAAAAACAGACCAACCTAGACCAGCCAAAACCATCTCAGCCCCAGACTAGTCCAGATCAGACCAGCCAAAACCAGGCCAGACCAACCTAGACCAGACCAGACAAATCCAAGCCAGACTCGACCAGGCAAAACCAGACCAGACCAGACCAACCTATACCAGTCAAAACCAGACCAGACCAGCCTAGGCTAGTCCAAATCAGACCAGACCAGACTAATACAGGCCTGACCATACCAGACCAACCTAGACCAGCCAACACCATCTCAGCCCAGACTAGTCCAGATCAGACCAGCCTAAACCAGACCAGACCAGAATAATACAGGCCTGACCATACCAGACCAACCTAGACCAGCCAGAAGATTCAGATTCAGTTTATTTGCCATTTGCAGTAAAAAAAACCCACATTGGAATACATTAGCAAAAGTCTCCAGTGTGCACAGACAAATACAGACATAAAACAACATTAAAAGACAAAAATAAAACAAATAAAACAGTAAACAAATGTCACTGTGAAGGGGACCAAACCACTCCAGACCAGTCCAGACCAGCCTAGGCTAGTCCAAATCAGACCAGACCAACCTAGACCAGACCAGACTAATACAGGCCTGACCATACCAGACCAACCTAGACCAGATAAAAACAGACCAAACCAGTCCAGACTAATCCAGACCAGACCAGACCAAACGTGTAATGTGTAACGAATGCTAATGCTGCGTTTGGCCCGAACACCCGCCCCTCACCTGCTCTAATGGGACCAGGTCTTCGCGTTCACCTTTTCATTAGACCCGTGTGATTGCGGCTCTTTGTTCTCGGCCTTTTGTCCTCGAGCCCCGACCACATCCACACGTGCAAATCGATGCCTTTCATTTCTGCTTTGTTCGCCAAAGTGGGCTGATGGCGGCTAATTATTTATCAGAGACGCCGCGAAAACACGTTCGTTGTGGCATCTGTTATCTTTGCACCGAGCAGTGGAGTTCTGGCACAACTGGGATAGAGTTGGCGTCGAACGGGTTTTCAACTCAACAAGAAATTCTTTCTGTGGAATAATCTTTTAACTGGAATAATGTTACTGCTGGAGATCCACCAATATGTCCTTTAGGTTCTGATATCCAATTTCGATGGCTGATTTAAATCCCTAAATAAATGGGATTTGAGCTGCCTGTTCTGGAGGTTCTTTATGAATCCAGATAGCCTGGTCTTATCATACCATTGTACTAATTTAATTTCGTACTAAGGTCTGGATTTTCTCGATTGAGCTCTGTTAACAGGTGGGAGGGTCAACTCCTTTTGCAGCTTGAAACGATTGGATCTGAGTTTACTGTGACGTATGTAATGGCCCGAGTGAATCGTTAGCATTTAGCCTAGCTTTAGCCATCTCCTTTGTCACTAACAGACACAACATCTTTGCAGCAATGACATCTTGCTCTGGGTTCAATGTCTTGATATTTGGAGCCGAACCAGAACGGATTACTTTACTATCGCATTTGCCGCCAAACTACAATTAGCAAATTTGGCGCAAACTCTCACCTCCCTACAACACCCGCCTCCCCCGCTCTCTGATTGGTCGGAGTGGATTCAACCGAGGAAACAGGAGCCACTAGGATCAGACCCAGACGTACATGTACAGTAGGTACGTAACAAAACAGGACTTAACCAGGACAAACAAAACAAATACATTGGTAATTCTAAAAATGGCTATCAAGAGTACTGAAATGCGACATTTTATCTTGTTTTATTCATGTACCTGTCTTGTGCACACTGGGGACTTTTTGCAAATGTATTCCAAGGTGGTTTTACTGCAAATGGCAAATAGAATGAATCGGAATCTGCATGGGGTTCAGACCATCCATGGCCAACATCATGCATGTGTTTTTGAGTACTGTGACCACTTTTACACACATTTCAGAGGCAGAGAGCTACTCCGTTTAACAGTCGTAAAACAAATGTATGTAATCATTACGACGACACAGGGAGAACAAATTAGACGCTCCGAGTCTAATGTGCCTTTTAGTGTGAATGTGTGTTTTGTTTTGTTTTGTGGCTTTTAATTTTTTTTTTTTAATTGCTCCTCGGGGATATAGAAAGTGTTTTGAATGGAAATGAATTGAAATGTAAGATATGTGTCAAATTCTTAATCCTTTGGGGAGCAACAGGTTGGAGACCCCCTCTCTCCCGACCCCAGAGAGAGAGAGAGAGAGAGAGAGAGAGAGAGAGAGAGAGAGAGAGAGAGAGAGAGAGAGAGAGAGAGAGAGAGAGAGAGAGAGAGAGAGAGAGAGAGAGAGAGAGAGAGAGAGAGAGAGAGAGAGAGACTTTATATTATTATATTTTTTATTGCATTTTCAGGATATATTTTACTCCCAATCCCTCCCACAATATCCCCAAGAAGAGAGAGATAGCACACACCCAAATACAAAGTAATTATATACATAAATAATAATATAGTATTTAAAAAAAAAGATAATAAAACAAGGAGAATTATAATAATAATAATAGTCATTACTAATAGTAATAACAATAAAAGTAATTAAAATACAGAAAAGAAAGAAAAAAAAGAAAAAAAATTAATATAATTAATAAAAAGAGATCTATGCATATATATAAGTTAGTTTTGTTAAGTCCTCTGAGACGACTTCTGTTGTGTTTTAGGGCTATACAAGAATAAATGTTATTGTATTGTATATATATTAATTAATTAATCAAGAAGGACAAGAAAGTTAAATAGCAATTAAAATAAATAATTAAATTAATTAAGTTGGGTAATTGATGTTACATTAAATTATACATATATAAATAAATTCGTATACCTTCGCAAACAGATGCACGCGAAAACGCTCGGTCACACATACATGTAGCATACCTTTTTGCACACATACGGGAGAGGGAGACTTTAGAGAGCGAGACCAGAGAAGCACGAGAGAGGGAGACTTTAGAGAGAGAGAGACCAGAGAAGCACGAGAGAGGGAGACTAGAGAGAGAGACCAGAGAAGCACGAGAGAGGGAGCGAGACCAGAGAAGCACGGAGAGGGAGACTTTAGAGAGCGAGACCAGAGAAGCACGAGAGAGGGAGACTTTAGAGAGAGAGACCAGAGAAGCACGAGAGAGGGAGACTTTAGAGAGAGAGAGACCAGAGAAGCACGAGAGAGGGAGACTTTAGAGAGAGAGAGACCAGAGAAGCACGAGAGAGGGAGACTTTAGAGAGAGAGACCAGAGAAGCACGAGAGAGGGAGACTTTAGAGAGAGAGACCAGAGAAGCACGAGAGAGAGAGACCAGAGAGAGAGACCAGAGAGAGACCAGAGAGAGAGACCAGAGAGAGAGACCAGAGAGAGACCAGAGAGAGAGACCAGAGAGAGAGACCAGAGAGAGACCAGAGAGAGAGACCAGAGAGAGACCAGAGAGAGACCAGAGAGAGACCAGAGAGAGAGACCAGAGAGAGACCAGAGAGAGACCAGAGAGAGAGACCAGAGAGAGACCAGAGAGAGAGACCAGAGAGAGAGACCAGAGAGAGACCAGAGAGAGACCAGAGAGAGACCAGAGAGACCAGAGAGAGACCAGAGAGAGAGACCAGAGAGAGACCAGAGAGAGACCAGAGAGAGAGACCAGAGAGAGACCAGAGAGAGACCAGAGAGAGACCAGAGAGAGAGACCAGAGAGAGACCAGAGAGAGACCAGAGAGAGAGACCAGAGAGAGACCAGAGAGAGAGACCAGAGAGAGACCAGAGAGAGACCAGAGAGAGAGAGACTAGAGAGAGAGACCAGAGAGAGACGAGAGAGAGAGACCAGAGAGAGAGACCAGAGAAGCACGAGAGAGGGAGACTAGAGAGAGAGAGACCAGAGAAGCACGAGAGAGGGAGACTAGAGAGAGAGACCAGAGAAGCACGAGAGAGGGAGACTAGAGAGAGACCAGAGAAGCATGAGAGAGGGAGACTTTAGAGAGCGAGACCAGAGAAGCACGAGAGAGGGAGACTTTAGAGAGAGAGAGACCAGAGAAGCACGAGAGAGGGAGACTAGAGAGAGAGAGACCAGAGAAGCACGAGAGAGGGAGACTTTAGAAAGAGAGAGACCAGAGAAGCACGAGAGAGGGAGACTAGAGAGAGAGAGACCAGAGAAGCACGAGAGAGGGAGACTAGAGAGAGAGAGACCAGAGAAGCACGAGAGAGGGAGACTTTAGAGAGAGAGAGACCAGAGAAGCACGAGAGAGGGAGACTTTAGAGAGAGAGAGACCAGAGAAGCACGAGAGAGGGAGACTAGAGAGAGAGAGACCAGAGAAGCACGAGAGAGGGAGACTTAGAGAGAGAGAGAGACCAGAGAAGCACGAGAGAGGGAGACTAGAGAGAGAGAGACCAGAGAAGCACGAGAGAGGGAGACTTTAGAGAGAGAGAGACCAGAGAAGCACGAGAGAGGGAGACTTTAGAGAGAGAGAGAGACCAGAGAAGCACGAGAGAGGGAGACTAGAGAGAGAGAGACCAGAGAAGGAGGGAGACTAGAGAGAGAGAGCCCAGAGAAGCACGAGAGAGGGAGACTTTAGAGAGAGAGACCAGAGAAGCACGAGAGAGGGAGACTAGAACAGAACAGTCTTCCTGAAGATGTGAGACAGGCCTCCTCTCTGACAATGTTTAAAACCAGGTTAAAGACAGTTCTGTTTAGCTGTGCATACAACTGAGGGATTTTATATTTGTATCTTTCTTTTTAATGTTCTGTGATTATTTATGATTTTAATGCTTTCTTGTTTTGTTCAGCACTTTGAGTTGCCTTGTGTATGAATTGTGCTATATAAATAAACTTGCCTTGCCTTGCCTAGAGAGAGACATGACAGAGCACATTTCTATCCACCTTCATGAGAAAATAATGAAACCGTAGTTGATCTGAGCTGACAAAGATGTTTCACTGCCCTCCAGCACAATGTGAAACTGTGGCTCTATGGAATGTCACATGGACATGGAAAACTATTACATTATTAAAATCCAATATAAATAATGTACATTTGCGTTGATCAAACATGGCAGACAGAACACATGTCTTCATAACCGTAGAAACCAGCGCACATACATTCACTTTTACTCTTCCTAAAGTCATAAAACCACATTATATCCCGGGTTTCTCTCAAACGCCGGCGTATTTCACCTGCAGAAATCTAGTCCAGAGCCCATTTCACGACCATCACATCCGTTACTTCCACGGAGACGATGGCGGTCCGTGGCCCCTGCTCCGCCACAGCGTCCGGGGCATTAGGGGACTATTGCTGCCACTTATTTGAAATGCTGCCGTTATGAAGCAGCTCTGCGTCAGACACTTCCCCGCGCTCCTCTCATCCATTATTCATCGCAACAGATTGAATTGTGGAAGGCTTCGGGAGCATGGAGGAGTCTGGATTACCGTGATGGGTCTAAAGGCTCAGGGTGGAAGAGGAGGGAGGTGAACGCTTGAGGAGCCCCATTTCCACCAGCCGTACTTGGTGCTACTTTAATTACTTATAATAATAATGATAATAATAGATTTTATGTTTTGCTTTCAGGACGCTCAAAGACACTTCACATGTGATTATTCATTCACTCCATAAACTACTACTGAAGCCACAGCTGCCCTGGGGCACACTGACAGAAGCGAGGCAACCAGTCTGTGCCAATGGACCCCTCCCACTAGGGTTTAATATTTTTCCCGAAAATGAGACGTATCAAATCCCGGGAAAAGACGACGCCTTTCCCGGGAAATCCCGGGAAATAGCTGTTGTTTGTAGTTGTTGTTTTTAGCCCAAGTAATGTATGATATCACTCAAATGTATAATCCAACAAAAGCTGCCGTCTCCACTAGTGTTTCACCAAGCGACTTGCTAGCTTTGCTAAAGTAGCCATAGCGTTTTCAGACGTTTT